CACACACACACACACACACACACACACACACACACACACACACACAGAGTATATAGGGGCCCTGGTGGCGCAGTGGTTAAGCATTTGGCTGCTAACCAAAATGTTGACAGTTCAAGTCCACCAGGTGCTCCTTGGAAACCCTATGGGGCAGTTCTACCATGTCTTATAGGGTCGCTATGAGTTGGAATCAACTTGATGGCAACAGGCTTCAATAGGGTCATTACAGACTCAACGGCAACAGGTTTTTACACTGTATAAAAACCCACTGAAACCTGTTGCCATCAAGTTGATTCTGACTCATAGCGACCTTATAAGACACGGTAGAACTGCCCCATAGGGTATCCAACGAGCGCCTGGTGGATTTGAACTGCTGACCTTTTGGTTAACAGCCGTAGCACTTAATCACTATGCCACCAGGGTTTCCTTTATATGGTATATATAAATGCATATATATACAGCCATTTTATATACACACAGACACACTAAGATTCTGATTTTTTTTCCCTTTCTGTTTTTATCTTTTGTTTATTTGTTTTTGTTTCAACCTTTATGCTATTTCTATCTTTTGGCTACTGTCTTAAGGTTAACTGAATTAAGAGTTGGAGGGTCTCTACCTTTTTTAATCACTCTTAAATTATTCTCTTACAATTTTGCTTATTTGACTTTATCTTAATTTTCTCCACGACATTTGTCCATTAAATTTCTGAGTTCCTGTTTTGGTTTAGAATTTCATTATTTTTGCTCCTTTTATCTGTTCACTCTCCCTAAATTCATTAAACCTTACTTTTATCTTACTGGTTAATTTATAGTTTCATTACATCTTTTTTTTTTTTTAATTAAACAACACGATTTCATTTATATGACCTTTTGGAAAATGCAAAACTATAAGGACAGAAAACAGATTCGTTGCCAGAGACTGGGGGTCAGGAGAGGGAACTGACTTAACTCATTGTAAGTGTACTTTTTGAGGTGACAGAAATATTCTATATTGATGTAGGCTTTATTAAAGGGGGTGAATTTTACTATATGTAAATCATACCTCAAACATCAAACAACATACATACAATTAATGATTTAGGAGGTAGAAGTGATAAGACTTAGCGCTGAATGTTATGACTGAAAGAGAAGAATCAATGGTAACTTTCAGGTTTCTGGTGTATGAAAAGGTGTTGACTTCACCTTGTAATGGAGGCATTCCCTTGACACGCAGGGTAGTTGGCAAGGATATCTGCCCGCGGCATGTCCAACATTAAAATGAATCTCTTATAAGATAGAATGAATTGTAGAAAGTGTTGCTGAGGAAGAAAGTCATATGGAAGGTAAGAGGCAGGGCGGCCACCCACAGGGTCATGGTCCTCCAGTACAAGACCTCCAACCACACCAGTAGGAAGCACAAGAGGAAGTGCTCCAGTCCAAGCCTCAGGTGGCCAGCCAATAGATAGGCATCCTATAGATGTCAACATTACTACTTTAGAAGCTCCCCCAAGATCTTGGCAAAGATATAAGGACCAGTTGTGCACAGCTTACCTTCTAGTTTATAGCAAAGCACTGGCCCTTCCAAGTGACCTTGACTCACAATCTACGCACTATCCTCTTTTTCCTTCCCTCACAACTATCCAGGGCTCTGCCCCTTGCTCCGAAAAGTGATCACATCTGAATTAGAAATGGAATATCCCAGTGAGACCGGGTTCCTATAGCTCATCAATAACACATCTCTATATAGTTTCTCTTAGCAAGGTCCAGACATTCCAACTTATCCTGAGAGAACTCTATAGCCACATCCCTGAACTTCACTGATCTATGGTCAGTTTTCCTCAGGGTTCCTCTCCTGGTAAACAAAGAAACCACAGCAACGACCTTTGTGGAGAAAAGTCATGCATAAACCCAAAATGTAAAGTGGCCTTTTTTCATCTTGCATCTTACAGAGGAATGTGATTTTCCTAAAAACCTGAATCTGAGTAACACAGGAGAACCAAAGTCTAAAATGCTTTCCTCAGACAATAATGATTTTATCTCTACAGATATGCGCTACATAGCAGCCACAAGCCACATGTGGCTATTGAGCACTTGGAATGTGGCTAATCTGAATTGAGATGTCCTTTAAATTTAAAATACACTCTGGCTTTTGAAAACAGAATGTAAAGCAGATCATACATAGTTAAAAACATTTTTTTAAAATACAATTTTTATTTTGGACTACTTTTAAGTTGACAGAAAAGTCACAAAGTTAGTACAGGACTTCCCCTATACCCTTTACAGAGTTTTCCTACTGTTAGCATCTTACATGAGTTTGGGACAAATGAGAAACTGACACTGGTACATTACTGTTAACTAAGCTCCAGACTTTATTTGGATGCCCAGTCTTTTCATGAATGCCCTCTTTCTGTTCCAAGAGCCAAGCCTGGGTTAGGTGGTACTTCTTTTTAAAATAAGTTTAATTCTTACATAGTTACTTTAATGGATATTACAAAAATATACGATGACCACATCAAACATTACAGCTTGGGACAAATGAAATGACAAAAACAAGCCAGTTTAAAGAAATGTTATTTGTTGTTGCTGTTAGGTAGCCCTGGTGGGGCAGGTTAACTGCTATGGCTGCTGACCAAAAAGGCAGCGGTTCGAATCTACCAGCCATTCCTTAGAAACCCTGTGGGACAGTTCTACTCTGTCCTATAGGGTCTCTATGAGTTGGAATCAACTTGACAGCAATAAGTTTGGTTTTTTTCAGTTGCTGTTAGTTGCCGTCGAGTCAGCTCTGCCTCATGGTCACTGTATGTATACCAGAATGAAACGTTACCTGGTCCTGTGGCATGTAGCTTTTAATACTGATTACGAACTGAGATGATAATACTTTGAATATACTGGGTTAAATAAAATGCATTATTAAAATTAATTTCACCTGTTTATTTTTACTTTTTTAATGCAGCTACTAGAAAATTTAAATTTATACCTGTAGCTCACATTTTAAAATATGCAGCGTAACTCAAACTACTGGACAGCATTGGAATAGACAGCACAGCTCAATTTCTGAATAAACCAACCTCTTCAATATCACTTCTCTTCTAGTCATTTTATTAAAGTTGTTTTATGTTATGGTATCTGACAAAATCAACTGGGACAAAAAGCACCACACTCAGGGAACTGCCCCCTACCCCTCCCACTAAAGGAGACACCACAAAAGTTCCACTGTCAGAATCCTGAAATACTCTCTGCATTGGCCTGAACCTAACTTGGATTCAATCTCAGCAGAATTGTGCGGTGATACTCTCAAGGTGTGGGTCTTCCCAGGCTTATTACTAGTGAAAAGCTCAGTAGGTTTGGAATTATTCCTATTGGGGTTTTAATAATGGAGAAGTCCATAAATATACATACTATTTAATTCATGTTACACCACAATAACAGAATCTTGGACAAAACACACGCAACCCTAATTTTCTTCATCACTTCTACTTACAGAGATTTATATAGTCAATTATAATACAAGCATTATATATTAATATGAATTCACCTGGATAAAAGAAATTAAATAGAATACTATATCCATATACTGCCGGACCATACTTAATTCACATCAAAAGACAAATCACTTCTTTAATTAGGCCTATAAATCTGAAGTAGTTTATAAGGCATATTTTAACAAAAACTTTATGCCTGAATTTCCTAACCTGATTGAAAAAATGCGTGACAATCTAAGGCACAAGCACAAGATATTTGGTGGAACGAAAAGGCCATATGCACATATATACATCAAGGAGACACAGTCTCCATTCAGTGATACTATGTCTTTAACACTTCTCTGTTTTTGTTAAGTGCCGTCGAGTTGATTTTGACTCATAGCGACCCTATGTAACAGAGTAGAACTGCCTCATAGGGTTTCCCCAGGCTGTAGTCTTTATGGAAGTCGATCCCCCATGTCTTTTTCCCATAGAGCCTTTGGGTGGTTTCCAATCGCCAACCTTTTGGTTAGCAGCCAAGTGTTTAACCGTTGCGACACTGGGACTCCTAACACTTTTCTAACAGCGTTGATTTCCCAGGACACAGACACAGAGCCTTGGGCAGGTAATAGTATTAAGCACAATTTAATGACACTTCTGTTTGCATTGTATTTATTTTCTGGCTTACCTTCTATTAATGGCAAGCAAAACTAATTTTCCACTACAAAGTTTAATTTTTAAATCAATGTATGTTAAAAAAAAAAGTCACATACGCACAGCACACAAATCCTAAGATATTACCTGATAGATATCAGATAAACTGCTGCTCCCAGAGTCACTGGCGATACTACAACCAGACTGACTAGAAGACACATGAGTCACCTGTGGATGAGGGCTGTCTGTGAGGTGCATCTTGGTAAGATCAGCCGGAAGCTAAAGAAGAAAAATAATTTAAATTATTCTAAATACCAAAATTTAGCTTTTTAGAAGTTCTTGACACATGTAATTTCTGTAACAAACTTTTGTTTTATGTACATCATTGTGAAACCCCACTTCTAACCTAAGTTCTCCATTCTTAGCAAAAATCTTTTGGGATGATAAGAACCAAATTAGTACTCTCTGAAACTATTAGGCAAGCTGAAGTGGAAAGCCCACTGAATAATTTTCAAAAGAGATTGTCATTACTGGTGGTATTTCTGAGGAAAAACTTGGCCCTATTTCCCCTTCAAATTAAAAACAAACAATTAGCTGTTCCCACTGTAAAGGGTAACAATGCTATTAACACACACACACACACACACACACACACACACCCCTAATACAAAATGCTTGCTAATACCAGAATAAAACAGCAATATCTTGGAATAAAGTGCAGCACCTGAAGTAAGACTTAAGAAAACAGCAAGCGACTCCATTCAATAGTATAAAAAGTTCATAAGGATTTTTGCACTTTAATATTGTGTTACTTTGTAGTTGGTCTCTGAGAAATTTATTAGTAATTATCATGAATTATTTACAAGAAAGATTTAATAAACGCAAGGATACAAGAGATACAAAAAGGAAATTACTCCACCCCATCTTTAGAATAATCACACTCTGATCAGGGAGGAAGACTGGGAAATCATTTCATCACACCACAACATGAAACAAACACCTCTTAAGATAAATGCTTACTCAAGAAACAAACCATTGTGTGCTAGAGTAAGAGAAAGTTTTACATGTTTTTCAAACAATGTCTCTGCAATTTTTTTTCAGGATCATTAAGATAAATCAATTTAAGTTTTAAAACTGTGTTTCTCATTGCTTTAGGAAAACATTAAAGAAACACACACTTAACAGTGTAAACTAAATATACTTTAAAGGAGAAAATGGGCAAGTCTGAATTACCTTAAGAGGAGTTACAGTAATTATACAAACCACACACCATTGTGGCACTGTTCACAACAGCCAAAAGGTAGAGACAACTTAAGTGTCCATCAACGGATGAATGGAGAAACAACATGTGGTACATACATACAACAGAATATTACTTTGCCATAAAGAGAAATGAAGTCCTGATACATACTACAACATGGATGAAACCTGAAAACATCATGCTGAGTAAGTAAATAAGACAGTCATAAAACAACAAATATTGTATGATCCCACTTACATGAAATATCTAGAATAGGCAAGTGTACAGACACCAACGCTTATTACTGGTTACTAAAGGTGACGGGGGGAGGAAAGGGGGAGTCACTTTTTAGGGGACAGTGATTTTCTGTTTATTGTGATGAACAATTTGGAAATACTGATGATAGTTGCTATGGTGAAATGAGTTCCTTTATGTGGCCTTTTGCCTTGGTCCTTTGGACAAACAGTTAAGAGTTTTTTTCCCCTTAGCCCTCAGGAGTTACCTTTGTTCTATATTTCTACCCCAGACGGTTTGTTACTTTTGTCCAGGTTGACTGACATTTCCTGGGTAAACTGTAAACAACTTGGTTTTGATACTTTTTGTCTGGTCCTGGGCTGCAGCCTGCCCTGTGATTGGTATACACCTTGCAGAGATTGGTCAATAGACTACGCAAATGAAGTAAGCTGTAGCCCAGCTGTGCCTACTATGCAAATGAAGTATCTGTGGCCTACTGAGAGGAGGACTGGTCTGTTTGTGGCCTCGATAGGAGTGCCATGCCTTGAAGTTTGTATATATATGCTGCACCCCACAAAGGTTTTTCAGATGAGACAGAAAGAAGAAAAGCAGAAGGAAGAAACCAGAAAGGAGACAGAGAGAGATAGGAGACAAGGAGCTGCCTGAAAAAGCTGTAACACTGATCAACGGCTGTAACACTGAAGACAGTGAGGCCTGGAAAGGGCCCATTGGCAGAGCTGGCAGTGACAGACGGCAGGCCTAAGAGGAGGCTTGTCCTGATGGGGCCTAGAGGAGACCTATCCTGCCGACAGGAGCTGAGAGAGGTTTTCCTGCACTGAAGAAGGGAGGCTTTGCCTACATGCTTCCAGTTCCTGATTCCTGAGTTGATTCTGATCTCAAGTTGTACTCTGTTCCTTAATAAGCCACTTAACTGTAAGTATGGTCTATGAGTTCTGTGGCCATTATAACAGATTATTGAACCCAGAAGAAAAGTAGAGAGTACTATAGGAGGGATGGCTGGTGTCAGAACTGGTAAAATGGTTGGAGAGAGGAGGTATGTCTGACCTCCACCTCACAGGGATCAGCTTTGGGCTGATCCTGGTCATTATCCCCCCTGAAGTTAGGTGAGGTCTTTGAAGCCACAATTTTACAGTTCAACAACATGAACATAATTAATGTCACTAATTTGTACATGTAAAAAGTATTAAATTGGAAAATGTTATGTTATATACAAATTTATCACAATTTAAAAAAAAAGCAAAAAATAAGAACACTACACACAAAGAAACTGCATCATGTATTTCCCTTTCTGTTAATGGAGGGTGTCATGGATTGAACTGTGTCCCCCAAAAATATCTGTCAACTTGACTGGGTCATGATTACCAGTACTATATGATTGTGTACCATTTTATAATCCAATGTGATTTCCTTATGTGTTGTAAACTCTATCACTATGATGTAATAAAATGGATTAGCGGCATCTAATAAGATGATGAGGTCTACAAGATTAGATAGTGTCTTAAGCCAATCTCTTCTGAGATATAAAAGAGAGAAGCGAGCATAGACACGGGAACCTCATACCACCAAGAAAGCAGTGCCGGGAGCAGAGCGCATCCTTTGGACCTAAGGTTCCTACACGGAGATGCTCCCCGACCAAGGGAAGACTGATGCATCACAAGGACCTTCCTCCAGAGCCGACAGAGAGAGAAAGCCTTCTCCTGGAGCTGATGCCCTGAATTTGGACTTGTAGCTGACTCGACTGTAAGAAAATAAATTTCTCTTTGTAAAAGCCATCCATCTGTGGCATTTCTTATAGCATCACTAGATGACTAAGACAGAAGGGTAGGTAATTTGGAAGGAAGGATGGAAGGTCGAAAAGTTGGAATGAAGAAGGAAGGGGAAAAATAGTTTATATAAATAAATTATCTGGCCTTTGAGGTTGGCTTTCTTCTAAGAAAATTTTTTGATTCTTAAAGAGGAGGTTGACAGGCTGAGGCACCTGTATAATAGCCACTGGTTAAAGGGACAAAAGTTAAATTCCAAGGTCTAGCATGGAAGGGCTATACTTTGGATTAAGACCCTGTCATGGATTGAACTGTGTCTCCCAAAAATATGTGCCAACTTGGCTAGGCCATGATTTCCAGTATTGTGTGGCTGTTCTCCATTTTTGTGATCTGATGTAATTATCCTCCATTTTGTGACGTGTTGTAAATCCTTACCTCTATATGTTAATGAGGCAAGATCAATGTAGGGTGTATCAAGTCACAATCTTACTTAGGTCACACCCCTGCATGAATCACTCCTTTTATCTCACAAGAGATAAATGGAGAGAGAAGCGAGCAAAAATGGGAGGGAACTCACTACCACCAAGAAAGAAGAGCTGGGAGTGCAGCAGGTCCTTTGGACCTGAGGTTCCTGTGCTGAGAACCTCCTAGACCAGGGGAAGATTGATGCCAAGGCCCATGGAGATCTCCAAAGAACGCCAGGCCCACAGATGTTGAAAGGAGACAAGGACCTTCCCCCAGAGCTGACAGAGAAAGCCTTCCCCTAGAACTGGTGCCCTAAATTTGGACTTCTAGTCTCCTAACCTGTGAGAGAATAAATCTGTTTGTTGAAGTCATCCACTTGTGGTATTTCTGTTATAGTAGCACTAGATAACTGAGATAGACTCTAAAGAGTACACTCTAGGAATAAACATGAACTGAAAGTAAACTGAATCCATTTTATGTGCAAAACACATATCTGATAAAGTACTTGCATCCAAAATACAGAAAGAACTCTTAAAACTCAACAATAAGAAAACAACCAATTACAAAATGGGAAAAAGATCTGATAGACACCTCACCAAAGACAATATACAAATGGCAAATAAGCACATAAAACAAGGTTCAACATCATACATCACTAGGAAATTGCAAATTAAAACAACAATGAGATACCACTACATACCTATTACAATTAAATACTATTCCAGGAGATGAAATTCATGGGTGAATTGAGGGAGAATAAGGGTTCCATGGTTGAATAAATTGGAAAACAATGTTACACTATATGCCCCTCCTAGCTCTTTGCAACAAACTTATGGAGGGTCCAAAAAGTCCCACAATAAGGAAGTCTGTTTCACACAGCATTCTCTAAACTTATTTTCCCCTAGTATTCTTATCAACATCCTATTAGTGTAAGAAATAATGCTTTGGGACAATCCCCATCCATCTAACCAAGGAATATGAATAATTATAGGGAAATTAGTGTTAGGTCCAGATATGGCCACTAGGGATGCTTTTGGCCTAGAAAGGGAAGAGGGATGCTTTAATTTGAATTGGCAGGAATGCAGGCATGTATAACTTAAGAGTAATATATGAATGTTCAAGGTTCTACTTCATATTTTAAAAACTAAACCTTCAAGACTATAATGCCACAACTAATAATGATAATAGGGAACTTCCTCCTTTAATAAGAAACTCTGCAACCTGAAACTTTTTGTCCCTTAGGATAATAAAGCAAACCCATAGCTGTTGAGTTGATTCTGACTCATAGCAACCCTATAGGACAGAGAAGAACTGCCCATAGGGTTTCCAAGGCTGTAAATCTTTATGGAAGCAGATTGCCATATCTTTCTCCCTTGGAGTGGCTGGTGGGCTTGAAATTTCGACCTTTCAGTTAGCAGCCGAGTGTTTAAACACTGTGCTACCTTAGGACCATACCTATACATTATTTTGTTTAAGAGAAAGACATTCAAGGGGCTCTATAAGTATGAAATAAAATGTACTATTAATTCTAAAAACAGCATTTAAAAATTGCAAAA